ATTTAGACTAATACTCGACCATCATATCTAAATTTGGCAGTAAGGAAAATAATTTTTTAACCAAAATCACGTGAAACTCTTTTTTTAAAGAATTTGTCCACGTGGCGCAGCAATAGGACCGAGCCAACCATATATATGATTGACAAATAAAAATATTTTTATTACAGGCAACTTCGTCGCCACTGTCATGTATATTAAATGTACATACTCCTCGCTCTAAATTTTCTTGATCAATTGTTGTACAATTATGCAAAGGCTGCAGAACTCATCAAAAGCTTTAACTACCATTGCTTACTTATTTTTCTAATATTAACAATGAATAGCAATGGTAGAAAATAAACCAGAGTTATATCATGGTGTGAATGAAAATCATGCATGGTCTTATAATTTAATTACTCTGCAATTTTTTTTAAAAAAATAGTTGCTTCATGACCACAAATTTTCTATAATAGTATTTGCAACGAATGTGACTTTTGCATGTCTAGCCAGCATAAACAAAAATGAGTATTTGGATCAAGAATTAGGACATTTATTTAACTTGATTTTTTATCTCTCACAATGAATGTTTCGCCTTCTTGTTTTGTTCTCATTCTTCCCAAAAAATTCAGTTTAATAAAGTCTACTAGCAAAGTTCTTTTGCAGTTTGTTATAATTACAATTATTAACAACAGCAATAACAGCAACTTGTAATTTGCATAACAATTACACAATTACAATAACAATTACTAGAAAAATGGTTTGAGGGAATTGCCTTTTCAAGAAATCAAATGGCAAGAATCTGCACAATCAACTTGAAATAAAGTTGGGTGGTATCATTTTCATTCATTATATTAAAGTGTTAATTAACCTTGGACCTTTTAATGTATCTATAGTGATAGTAATATTAATTTTACCTTATCAATAACAATGACATTTTTCACTCTTGGATCTCAATTAGAAATTTTCTAGGTGAAAACAAATCAGTTCACACAAGAAACACCCAAAAAAGATCACAAATTACCTTTGTTAAATCAAAGCACTCGTAGTATTATTATTTTTTAAAATTATATAAGAAGGTTTCTATTTCATATTGGTGATATGGTTTAAAAAAAGCATGATGAGTAATAATAGAAATATAACAATTATAAAAATTCAAATTTATTTATTGCAACAAATATTATTATTTTTTTGATATTCACTTTGGCTGGTTTGTTGCAAGCATGTCACAATATACTATTACTTAGTGCAGATGTGTTTAATTAGAGTTTGGAAAGAATATGAATTGGAAATTGCTTTTTTGGATGAATATTTTAAATTTACAATTATGGAATTAATAATTTAGTTTAGATTATATTAATAATAATAATTAATAATAAATTTTTTATTTTTTTTATTTTCTCATTTTCTCATTTTCTCTAAATTATCCTATGATAATTAATATATAAATATATATATATTTATATCTCATCCAAATGTCTTTATCAAAGGTAATATTCTATTATGAAGGATTAAAAAAAAACAAATAAAAAAATCTTAAAGCTAAACCAATCTATTTTCTAGCTTCTATTTGACAATAAGAATTTTACTTCTTTCTTCTTTAATTAAATCTTCTAATGCAGGCACAACTTCAGGATTTGTGATCTTCCATAAATCACAAAAATCCCTTGCTAAATCAGCAGGGTCATCATTAACATGAACATAAATGGTTTGTGAGCAACCTTTCCCAAGTACAACATTAATTGTTAATAAACATCTACCACGTTCATGTTTATCAAAACATCTTGGTATCCCTTTTAATGTTTGGTAATCATTAACATTAACTTCATCTTCATCAGTAGGTGGTGGTGAAGATGATGGCAGTGAAGGTGATTGGTTCCAATATGGATTTGAATCAAATTCTGGAGGAATAAAAGGTATATTATAATTATTATCTTGATATGATTTATTTTTCATATGTTTTGAAGCTGATTTATTATTTTGATCAGATTGTGAATCATTAATAACAGATTTTGATTTTGTTGAACTATTACCATTATTATTATTATTATTATTATTATTATTATTATTATTATTATTATTATTATTATTATTATTATTATTATTGTTATTGTTATTATTGTTATTATTATTGTTGTTTTAGTTGTTGTTGTTATTATTAAATTAATTAAATTTAAATGTCAATGTCAATGTCAATGTCAATATTAACGGCGTAGATCCCCCAAAAAAATATATCTAAAAAAAGTATTTACTGGAAAGTTTAATTAAAAGGCATATATATACAGTCTATATTTGTTATTATTGTTATTACTATTGTTGTTGTGATTTTAATTGATTTGTTTGTTTCCCCTGCATTAGAATTAGGGCGGTTTCTTCTTTTCCACACTTATAATTATTTTAATTGACTGATTGCAAGGTAATAGATAAATTCGCCACATATCCATATCCAATAAATTAAAGACTAGGATAAATAAATAATAAACGGACCAGCTATTTTGTTAATTGCGATATTACAACGGTAAATATTAGTTATATTTTATATTTTTGTGGTTATTATTATTTTCGGATACCTGCACTTTATTATTTATTAGACTAGCGTGATAAAAAATGATATTATTGTGTGATAGGTTGGTTATACTGAGTTACTAATTATTATTAATTAAACTTATTAAAGTTTCCATTTTTCATTTAATACTCGTAATAACAACTTTAAACGATAAAATAAAGTTTAAATTCCGTGTAATCTCTCACTCATTGATTAATGGTTGATTGGTTCATTTCTTGATTGATAGATTGATTGATTGATTGATTTACTCATTCATTCATTCATTCTTAAGAGAAAGAAAAAGAGAAAGAAAGATGGTTAATGTATATGCGTGTGAACATCCTGATTAATATCTGGTATTTTACAACAAAGATCTTAGATTTAAAGTTCACGGACATTATCAACAACGAAAGCAAAGCGCGGCAAATCTCATTTTTCATTTTCATTTTCATTTTATTCACATGGATATTCTCAACGCGTGGGTGAATCTTGATGTTTTAACAGCACGCAGACAATAGTTAATTACTTTATTGTTTGTGAATACGAATAAGTCAAATAGAAGAACAAAGTTAGGAAGAATAAGTATCAAAACGCCAAAATGATTGCGGTTAATGGTAGTAATATTAAAAAAGATATTATCAGTATACACAAATAAGCATTAGTAATTAATTGATCGCACGATTATAAATAGATTATAAATTTATTTATTAATTAATCTATCAGTTTTTTTTGTTTTTTTGATTTAAACTTAAAAAAAATTGATTCTTGATTTCGACTTAAACTTAAAAAATATCATTTTTGATTTATTTTTTAGTTTAGTTTGACTTTTATCTTCAATCATTTCATAACCTTATCGTTCCAATTATTATTGCCTTGGCCATCTCCTTTCACTTATCATTATTATCAGTCATTGAACAATTCGGAATGGAAGATTATTGGAACCGAATGGAATAATAAATTGTGTGCTATTATTGTTGTTGCCTTAATTGCAGGCATTTATTATTATAATAATGTTATTGTTATTACTATTATTACTATTATTACTATTATTACTATTATTATTATTATTATTATTATTATTATTATAGAAGGACATCTATCTTTATATCTGCTATTACGTATATATGCGCGTGCGTGCGTATATATTAACTAATATGGATCACAACAACAGCAATATCTATTATTTTTATTTGTACTTTTAATTATCTATCAATCTGAACTAAACCAATCAAATAGAAACCGGTGCGGTTAATAAAAGTAATATGTACTAATAAAGGAAACAAACGTTTCTAATAAAAAACTAATTACAAAGCAATATTTATGATATTATTAATACTAATAACAGCAAATCGATTGTTACGTTTAACAGAAAACCAGGCATTGTGTCAATTTGCAGAACATTCGACACTTACAATACTGCATAATGATAATATTATATGTTGATTATGATGATGACGATGCTGTGGTATTTACTTTCTTCATCTCTGTTGTAAATGATAAATAGAATTAATCTGTAGAATAAAGCAAAAAGGATAGGATAAAAAAAACTCTAACGCCAAAAATTGAAAAAAACATTTCTTATTTAATCGCGTGATTTTTTTTTCCGTAATTGATTAATTAATTAAAGATAAAAAATATAAAAATCTAAACAAAGAAATCATTTAAATATCAATTAGAATGTAAATTAGGTTATTGTTATTGCACAAATAAAATTTTTCTTTTAACAAGGCATATATTTATGTATATATATATATATATATATATATCGAGCTTAAAAATAAACCCTGCATTAGCGTGAAAATGTTTCGGTTTTTGAAAATTTTCAAAATTGGGAAATTTAAAAAATTTTATTTTGCTTAATTTTCCGTGCAATATTTTCGGAACAGAAAATTTAAACAAGGGAATGTCTTATAAAGAATGTCTAACCTGAATTGAGATATTTTTATTTTCAGTAAAAATTCATATGATAACAATGGTCATTATTATGCACTCATTGTAACTATTTGCAAAAAAATATCCAAATCTAATACAATGTTACACAGACAGACTCGATAAGTCAGCCCGCAGTAATCAATTGTTTAAAGTACTCAATAGTATAAATTATGCGGCTGACTTATCGAGTCTGTCTGTGTATATGACGACATTACAAAAATTATTGAATTTTATTTGTCAATATGTTACATAGACCGTTACGTGTGGCTAATTTATAGTTTATAAGATTAAAAAATTATTTGTTTATTTTATATATAACGCCGAATATTCCTATCAATATTATAACAAGGCAATTTACTAATTTAAAATAATGGAAGATTCTATGTCTTGTGTTTATTTATAGATAACTTGTATAGGGCATTCGATATCAATTATAAATTACTTATTCATCACTGTATATTAATATACATTTATTTGGGTCCTTGATTATAAGCGAACAAGGCTTTACTAAATTTAATTTAATTATTATTTTGTCATTATTTTTCTATTAGTGTTTTCTAAGTTTATTCCATCGCTTATGTTAAATGCAAAATAAATATAAGTTAGTTCATTCAAACACTGTTTTTTTTTTTTTAAACATCCTAAATTCAGTAAATTAATTTTTGGAATAAAAAAATTGAATTCGAGTTCTCTCTATTTATATTTATATGGGCAAAATAATTAAATGAATACGTAAATATCAAGTTCAGGCAGGGTTTGTAATTATACAAATATTTTTTTATTTTTATTTTTATTTTTTTAATTTCAATATACCTTGTTTTTTATAATTTTTTTAAAATTCCTTTGTACTACCAATCATAAAACGCGATTTTTTTTACTCGTTTGTTATTCTTTCAATTATATAAATATCCATATTAATATTCTTAATCTTTGGTATTTTATTCAAACAAGAAATAAAACAAAAACCTTGTAAAGTAAGAACTCGAATAAAAACAAAAAAAGTCAATTTAATAAAAAAAATATATATTTTTATCTTTATTTTATAAACTTATTTTGGTAAATAAGGATCGCAAATTATAATCACCTTTATTATCGTAATAATAAAACAATAATTGTAATAAAAAAAAGTATCGATTAGTATAATAATGACGATAATTAATTATAGATATTAAAATAAATTATAAACTATTTCTCGTTTATTACGCGGCAGCAACTGCGGCACTATCTGTCTGTAGTCCACGGTGGATGACAGGCATTTACTTATTGGTGGAATTTAATGATAAATATTCATTAATAGTAAACAAGTTAAAATACATCCGATGTTTATTTATCTCAAAAGACCGAACTGTTTTCCGCGAATGTGCGGTTAGTTTGTAAAATTTTTTCAAAATATATATCACAATTATGTATGGATCTTATATAAGTTTTATCACTCACAATTTATTTTTTTTTTTTTTATGGATATTTATATAAAAACGTCGAATCTATTGTGTCAACTAATTTATGCTATTTTATTTATGAATCTTTATATATAAAAACGTCGAATATATTCTCAAATTTGCAGAAGGAAAAATCATTTTTATTTTTTTATTTTCAATAAGTTTATTTCACAAAGAAAATTTTTTTTTAAAAAAACAAACTGTTAATTGCACCCATCATCAATTCACACGCTCATTAAAGAAAAATGCCCCCAATCCGACACGCCAACAACTCCGCATCAGAAGATAACGATAATAATAATAATAATAATAATAATAACAATGACAATGAAAATGTCAATGATTCTTCTTTAAAATCATTATCCTCTACATCACCGGCTTCACCTTCATTTTTTTCAAACTTTTATTCTAAAAGCGTTGCTAATAATAATAGCACTACCACGAATCTCGAAAATGCTATTACTACCACCAGCACCAGTAGCAGTATTAGTAATGCTAGTTATTATCGTAGAACGAAAAGGTCACCGAGCCTAAACACACGAGCTTCAAGAGTAGGTGTGACGAATTTTATCAATATAATCAAATCTCTACACGCTGGTGAACAAATCCCGTACTTTCCAATTACAGAAAAACTGCTGGAAGAATACATCAATGCTAAACGAAAATCAATGATAAAATCCGGTTCTTTGGAACAATATTTACAACACATACAAGCGTATAATATTTCCCTGGGATTTGGGTGGAATGGGCTGATTTTTGGTCCAATTATTAAAAAAGCGTTGGATGAGCTAAGAACGGTCGAAGAGGAAGTTATAAAGACAAGTTTGATTTTACAACAGCATCACAATAATATCAATAATGATTCACTATCCAGTAATGATAAAGAAATGGTTATGATGATCATTGACGATGAAATAGATGGTAAGCAAATCATATTGTGCCTAGGGTTTGTATTCACGGATACCATGAATACCGTTAAGGGGAT